CAGAACTGACTTACAGAGACCCTAACACAGCTTTCAAGGTGAGATATTTAATAAGTGGTTTTACCAGTTTTACATCCCCAGTGAGTTTCTATGGTTGAGCAAGGATTTGAACCCTATTGAAGCCTAATCCATCACTCTACCCTCTCCATTACTTATCTCTTCTTTCTTGTGTGATAATTCAGATTATAAACCTAATGGCAGAAATTGTTATGGTACTGAATTTTATATGCAACTCTGTGGGGTGGGATCTTTGACTAAAGAATGGGCAAGAAAAACTAATGCTGTTTAATGCTAATTTGCCAATAATAATAACAGCAATAATAGTTATTTCGTGTTGTGCTGAGGGTATTCTTATAGGATTTAAGTGTCACCTATAAATACAGCCTTAAAGCCTTCCACATGTTCCTAGGATGCTCTACCCATGTAGCAATGCTAGTTAAAATAGGGCCAGAAAGCAATTAAGTTTTAAATACAGCATTTTACATCTAATCTCAAAAAGTGGTGAGTGCCTCCAGGAGCATATCAGTGTATCAGAGAAGGCAAGCATAATTGGAAAAAAAACCGTATCTGACACACAGAATCTGAAAGCTTGGGGCAGGTCCGCAGCCTCAACTGAAGCAAATGTGACTCAGAATTGTACTGGTGTTTGGTTAAAGTTTGCATAATTTGCTGCCACTAACTGACAAGTTGCAGGGCTCACTGTGGTCACATGTCCAGTCATACACCTGACCGCACAGTTGGGATGCTCTCCACCACCTTCATCATAGCGCACCGCACAGTTGGGATGCTCTCCACCACCTCATCATAGCGCAGCAAGTTACACAATTCTTACATGAACACCAATATGATTCCAGCTGTTGTATGTTTAATTAATGCAAAAACAACTTCCATGCTGGTTAACTTTAAAGTAATTCCGGGATTTGTGGGTTTGTTTATTTTGTTTTGTTTTGTTTGTGCAGCTAAAGGTCGGCTTATCATGCCTAACCTTGAGTAGTTACTAGTAAGAATAACAGACCAACTTGAAAATTAAAACATTTTCTCCTTTTATGTATAAAAGTTTTGGTGGCGATGTTTCACGTTTGAAATAACATTATTTTAGGGGTAGGCATATAAGGTCATGGCCCATTTAAGATACTCAAAAGAGCTGGAAGGGTTAAAAACATATTGAGACGACCACATTTTGCTGCAACTACTGAGGAAAGAAGCGGCCGATGCGGGCAAGTGCTGAGGATCAAAAACGCCGAAGAGGAGGACCGCCAAATGTCGGGGGTGTGGGCGGGAGCAGCGGGTGGTGGGGCAGCAAGGGAGGGGCGCCTACGGGAGGAGGAGGAGGAGGAGGCAGCAGCTGCTGGCCAGGCTGTACCTCCGGCGTCCCGTTCTCCTCCGCCGAAGGCTCCCTGCTACACACAACCCAGGGACACAAGGGGAATAACTGAGTTCCTCTTGCACCATCCGGGAGGGCTGTTCTTACCCGCAGCGGCGGCAGCAGCAGAGGCGGCGGCCCCTCCTTCCTTCTCTTCCGTCGCCATGCTGTTCCGTCCACGGTCGCCATGGAGACGTCGGGCACTTTCTCGGGCCGAGCCACCCCGGCTCTTCCCTCCCCCGCGCCCTCCTGCTGCTGCTGCTGCTGCTGCTGCGTCCTCTTAGGCGCCTGATTTGGCGGCAGCCGCCCAGGCGTTGGTCAGTCTAATGATCCCACTTGGACGTAAGCTGCTTTCTCGCTACCCCACTTCGTCCCTGAGTCGTCGTATTTCAATCACGGGCCGTTCCAGTGGCCTTTGGCTAGAAACCGGATTGCTGAAGACGGCGTTTGGGCTATTTCACGGAACAAGGGGCGGATAGGACTTTAAAGTTAATTCCTCTGGTAGCTTTGACTCCAGAATACTGTACTTATGCGTTCAAGGGACTCTCCACTTGACATGATTTTTCTGTGCTCTTGTTCCCTCTCAACAGTGTGATATTTATTTATTTATTTGTTCGATTTATATCCCGCCCATCTGGTATATGCTACCACTCTGGGCGGCTTACAGAATATCAAAAACAATTAAAAAACATAAAAACATTAGCATACAGCAATAACAAACAGTGCAGGAATAAATAAATAATAAATAGCAAAGAAATCAGTAGTTGACAGGAGGGAAAGCCTGGATGTACATCCATGTTTTCAGTTGGCATTTGAAAGTACCCAGCGTTGGGGCCTTGCAAATTTCCGGAGGAAGGTTCTTCCAAAGGCGAGGAGCCAGCGCCGAGAAGGCCCGGCTTCGTGTCCTTTCCCTCTGGGCCTCCCTTGGCGTCAGGCTCCTCAGCCTCACCTCCTGACTCATGCGGGTGACCCGAGTAGATTTTGGTGGGAACAGGTGCTCCGCCATGTATCGAGGTCTTAAACCGTTTAGGGCCTTATAGGTAAGCATTAGAACTTTGAAGTCAATGCAGAAACGGATGGGCAGCCAGTGCAGTTTGGCCAGAACAGTAGAAATATGTTGGTGTTTTCTCACTCCAGTAAGGAGTCTGGCCGCTGCTTTCTGCACCACCTGAATTTTTCCGCATCAGCCTCAAAAGTAGCCCCACGTAGAGCGCGTTACAGTGGTCTAATCTTGAGATTA